AAAAATCTGGGTACCATCCGACAGGGTATTCATCATCAACAATACAGTTATTTGGAGTACCAGTTCTTCCATTGATCCCCTGATATAAATATTGATAATTATTTTATTTTATTTTTTTTAATTTCGTTTATTAGTGCCTATTAAGAGTACTTATTTGCATATGGGTAACCTGTTGGTGGTCTACAAATGAAACCTATTATTAAATTGTTAGATGGATTAATCTGAATGGGCCGATGAATGGTTAGCTGTTAGTGGTTTCGTTGAGCAATCAAGTCAATTTGAATAGAGGCGAGGGAGGGGGTGGTGTTCGAAGCGTGGTAGCTACGGTAACTACACTAACATGTTGATAATGGCGAATGACTTCATTGTAGACTATTTCGATGATTCACATGCACTTATTTTATTAACCTATAGATATATTCCTATACAGTATATCTTCTTCACACTGAAGAAAAGCGCTGGTCGTATTTAAAATACTTGTGATTTACTGAATTATACTGCTTCATATTATGTCTACAATTCAAAACTGTATTTTATTTCTGTGTTTTTACTTTTATTTACGAAGCAAACGTAGAATCCTTCATTTAATTAAAATCTAAATATTATCTGCCCCAGATAAATTGATGCGACTACTTTAACTGACACTGTAGTAGAGGCCTATAAAATCTGTACATACTTTACACAAACGACTACTTATAGTATACAATTAATTTTGTTTATCAAGCATAACAACTTATAATCATACATTTATGCTTGCTTGCCGTTTACATTACTGTATTGTATCAAAATACTACATTGGTAGTAGAATATGTTTAGCGCCCTCAATGAACTTCCAAATTATTCACTCAGAGTGGTTGAACATTACTGAGCTAATAGGCCAAGGCCTAATTGTATGTGTTAGTTGAACAATCATTTTGACCTTGTAATGGTATTATTGTGTAAGTATATGTATTGCCTAACCGCTGTGCCGCTGATATAAAAGTGCTATTCTATAAATATCTATCTATCCTTCAATCCAAAGGCGTCGATCCGTGGTTGAAAGTTTGGGGGTGGGGAGCAAAATGCAATAAGAAAACCTTGGGTCGTAGGCCCAAGCTTTGGTTTGTGCCAGAGGGTGGCCTAGTTCCCCCGGCGGGGGTCCAGGGGCGAAGCCCTCGGAAGCTCTGGCGCCTATAGCCTTTTTTAAAGTCGTATCTAATTGATTTTAAGGAATACAACATTTATTTCCACGATTTTCAAAATACAGTGACGGATCCAGGAATTTGATATAGAGGGGGCACAGGAAGGACTTTTATAGATGGAGAGTGTAGACCACATGAGCCTCACCATGGTTGGGCTGAGGTACGAAAATTTATAATATATATAATTCTTTTTCCTCCACTTTTTTTTTTTGTTTTGAAAAAAAAAAATTAGGGAGAGTGGGCCGACTGGGCCCCTTGAATCTGCCACTGAAATACTCATCATAAAAAGTTTTGTTATTATCAAATTATCCTGGTAATAATAATTATGCCCGCTTATAGCTTTCGTGCAAACTAACATTCATAAAAAATAATGATTTATTCGAACCATGAAAAACAAATAAGATAAACTTAAAACTGTCACTAACTTAGTCTCTTTGCATGTACAGTACATTTAAAACCAATGAATAGGTTTTTCCATTTCTCTTCTTTTTGAATTTCACTTTTGTGCAAGTAGTATTGCGAAAACACTATTGTGAGTGAAAATACTACCGTCTAATTTACGATCAAACGTAAAGGTGATTTACTTAAGTTATCATTATCACTGGCGGATCCAGGAAAGGGAAATGGAGGGGGAAAATGGAGAGACTTTCACAATTTTTGACACTAGACCACCTAAGCCCCACAATGGATAGCGATGAGGTATATGGCCGGAAATGGCACTCTCAGATCTAAATTCTAATTATAATTTTCCATTTTTTATAATTTCGAAAAATTTGGGGTGGGGGAGGTCGGCGTGGCTTGAATCTGCCACTGATTATTACGACTCCATTGCGAGATTGCGTCAACGTAACATTGAAGTTTGTAAACTCGTGGTACTATTATAATAATAATAATATTTATTCGGCAGAGTAAAAAGTATACATACAATATTCTTGCCAGGAGTAAGTAATAGGCATAAGCCCAAACAGTAAACTGCTCTTACTCCATCATCAAAAAAATTACTTAAATAAATCGAAATAGATAGACCTGTCCTTGTCAAAAGATGTATAATTATTGTTTAATTACAGCTATATACAATTCAATTGACCAACTATACTTTTTTTGAAATTAAGAAAAAACAGGGATGTATATTATTCGAAAGCGGCGCTTATGCGTTCTCCATAGAATCACGTCGGCGACGACTGATCGGGAGCAGTGGGTGCCCGGCTTTTAGACTAGAGACATAGTATAGGTGCAGATCTAACCCCTAACCTCTTTCATACAACTCACTTCTGCGCTCACAAATAGTGGAGCTAAGGTTAAGCTAGGAATAATTATATAATATAATGTTATAGGCCTATTATATAATGATCAGAACATTGAACTTTAAGTGACGACCACCAATTCTTTTAAGCATTCATATACCCCAAAATAGGCCTAATAATTGAAAAGTAATTAGGTGTACTGATTTTAAATTAAATTAAGTGGAATATCCCTTTCTTCCTCATTAAATTCAATAATATCAATCAAAAAGAATTATTGGCATATAGGCCTAAATAATTGTAAATAATTGGTGAACAAGCAATGATTTCATGAATAACAAATATTAATTAAGATCATTCTAAATTCTTGCGCTATTGACCAACTTAATTTACTTAACGATCTGAAATCCAATCCCTTTGCCAGAAGAAAATACTTCGACTTAATATTTCTTTTTAAATTTATACTGTAAACAATTATTTAAAAGGTAACTTAATTTTTTTCTTTAAAGTTCATAATTGTAGACTATGTAGTTTTTCGTTGTTTGCTCTTTAGTACAAAGTTAATATTTGCAAAAATTGTTTTGTCAATCGCATATCGTTAATATATGATGATTTTGTTAACGCTTGTCCTGAAGTGGATATTTTTAGTAATCCATTAGCTAAGAGGCTTGCCTCCGGTTACACTTCGGAGTAATTAATTAAAGTATTATTTAAGAATATTTATTACCTTTGTTATGTCATTTTTCGTAAGGTACTTGTATTGTCTTCTGGCAAAGGAAATGGAATGATTTTTAATTATCTTTTTATCTTGTAACCGTCTGTACTGTTTCATGCTTATTACAATCCTGTAAGTGGCGATCCCTGTTGTGTGTGTGTGTGTGTGTGTGTTTGTGTGTATCTTTTGCAAGTGCTTATGTGTAGTGGTTATGGGTAGGCCTATCTACTTTTTGCTAGGTTTTTTTTATGTAACTTGATAAAGGTTTTCTCCAATAAAGACGTGTTCTTAAAGTCTATAGTATTAGTTTCCTATTCTCAAGGATTTAACATATTCCAGTGGCGGAACCAGCCCGGTCAGAAAGAGGGGGCGTGAATGAGCATTGAGGGAGAGTCTCGGTGGAATGAGAGACTAGCAACGGGTGTGCAATGAACGAATCTCCCTTAAACCTTCAGCACCTTCATTAACTTGAGTTGGTATTAGATTGATTTTCACTATTTAGCATAGTAACTTTCTGATAAGCTTTACAAAACAAATTGTTTTACAAAAAAATGGAGGGGCGTATGCCCCTTACGCCCCCCCCCCTCACCACCCCTTCTAAATACGCCACTGCATTTAACCATGATTTAACATGGGTCGCATTTTCATGCAGAACATGTTTTTACAAATGGTCCTGGCGCATAATCGAAAAATATAAAAAAAATACTACTACTACTAGGTCTACTACTAATAATAATAGTATAGAGTACCGGTACATTTTTTAAACCATTTTCTTTATCGTAGATTTCTGATTAGCGGTAATAATATTGGCCTAAAGTTTTTTAAATCAAACATTAACCAGGAAAAATAGTGAAATCAAAATGACGATGAAATACAACTGTGTTTTTGGTGGGTTAAAAAAACTCGCATATTTGGAACGATGTACCACCTCCTCTACATATTCACATTCACAACTTTCTTTCCGGGTATACTCAACAAACCAAGATTTGTTCCAACTTCCACTTTTGAAAAATAATGTGAATTTATCGCTTATTGCATTGTATTATTATAGCATTCAGGCAGAAGAGCAAACAAACTTTCTAGCTGTTTAAGTCGGCTATGAGGTATTTTGTGTTTCCCACCGCCTAATAATACTCCCCATATCTCCGCATCCCCGAAAAAAAAACAACAAAAAAACAAAAAAAAAAACTGTATGGAAAGACGATAATAGGGACTTTTTGTTTTATCTGAGTCAATGGCCACTGATTGACTTGGCAGGATTATGTACTCTACTTTTCATTTGTTGCACATTAAAGCATATTATTGAAATTCAGGATAATGTAGTACTGACGGGTACGGTACAGTACAGTGTACTGTCTTGCAATTGCAATGTGGTCGAGGACGATGTTGGCCCGCCACCAATTTAAACATCTGACGTACGGGCATAAGGTGTGGCGTAATTAACTTCAGTAATGTGTTGCATAATCTACGTCATCAACTCATTAAATAGTAACTTAGTTTAAATTTCAAACATGAAATTGTTCTCTAGAGGCAATATTTAGAATGTGGTAAGCTAATAATTTTCTTGTAACCTCGTCCCTCTGACGTGTGAAAAGTCGGGTGTCATTTGATCTGTGGACCATTCCAAGTTACATATAGGTTAAACGCATCGGATTATTTTAAATTGCAAATTAGCTTAACAAGAAAACTCACATCATACTCTACCGATTCTTATAAGTATTATAAGGCATGTCTGGTTTTAGTATTTCTAAATTTCTTGTATGGTTTAATTTGGTAATTTTGGTTGAATTTATCTTGGGAAACCCACCCTTGTACAATGTAAGGTCGTCGTGCTTCGGTTTCATTTGTGTTCCGCATGGGTCTCTTCTGCAACACCGTTCTTGGAATTAGGAATAAACATAAATTACGAGTGCTACCCTCACAAAAGTGGGTGAAATGAAATTCGTTTGATATATAATTAATAGGGAAAGTTACGAAAATCGCAATCTGTTACATCGCCTTGTGGAAGAAATAAAGTGAAAAAAAACCTTGAAACAAGACTTATTGGCCGTCTACAAACATCCGTTCATGTAAACTTGAATAAATTGTCAACAATCAATCGGAAAGTGGTCACTGGATAAGACTTCCGCTCTAATACTGCCAAACACACACGATTCAACGAGCCGTCCGTAGGCTCACACCAACATTAACAAGTATCAGGTAAGTTGTTTAAAGACTACATACTCTGGAAACAGACAGACTGTGTTTTGAGAATCAACGTTTTGATCTATTTGATCGTTTTCAGGAATATTCGTTTTCAAGTATTCTTGAGACGAAATGATCAAACAGATGGATCTAAACGTTGAATCTCAAATGTCTGTTTTCAGAAATTTTAACCTACTTAAAGTTAAACCAATGAGGCATAAAATAAAAAAAACTACTAAATTGTAGACCTATGGTATTTCTGACTTAATGTATCAGTCATGAGGTAAACAAAGTGGATATTTATATTCTACATATTAAGATGCGTAATTTGTATATTTAATTAAGTAAGAATATTAACGAGTTTTATTTGACATGACACTAACCTTATTTAAATCTTTACATTATACCTATACAAGCTAATGTCGTTAAAAGTTATGATGGTACGCGGTTTGGCTTAATTTAATCACTAGTGATATATTCGTTAGGGGCATTGTCTTGGACTGCCCACATCGTTGTGTAAATGTCAGTAGTAGGCATATGAATCAAATCGAATAAAATCCACCATTTAATAAATTATTTATTAAACTTATATTAATAAAATTATCATTAAAATAAAAGAGGTTTATACAATGTTTCAGACAGCAGATACTGTACTGTGAATATAAATTTAACTTAATAATCATATAGGCCTAATGCACCGTGTTTCCATTTGTGGTGGTAGCGATATCTAAAATATCATAAACTGTAGCCTACAGAGACTGTACTGTACTTCATTGTTGAAAAGCCTACGGAACTTCTGTACGGTAATGCTAACTCAATTTTTAAAATATCACGCCACATTCTACTATTAAACGTATACCTTATCACGTTCATTAAATACCCTGCAAAAAGTTCATCATGCCAAAGCCCATTTTTTTTTATTAATTAAAACCGGACCTAAAATTTCGAAGTAAATTTAATGTCTGTATTAAATCAGCGAAAGCTGAAGAAGAAGTTAATAACTTAGGCCTAGTTGATAATATTTAAAAATAAAGCATTTCAATGTTTGAAATTATTTGAATAGTTTTTTCCCCATATTTTACCAAGAGGGTATAATTTATCTTAAATTTAATAGGTAGATAAGTCTAAATCTGTATTATTCCTCGGTATCAATGATAAATCATGGTAGTAATTGAAATAATTTTAAAATATGGAATAAAATAAGGTACAGTACCTAATTTTTGTATATTAGGTCTTAACGAAACCGCATGTCAAGTTAAACCACAGACACTATTGACTCTGGATACTACGCCCACAACATCCGATCTTATGCCCTATCCGAATTTATTTGTTAATTAGTATGTGGGTAACGTGGATTATGCAAACTAGGTGCAAACAAATATACATGAAATCCGGATCAAACGTACTATCATCCAGCATTTAGTCAGGGTCGATCTACTAGGGTTCATGGGGGGTTCAACCCATGCACAGAGAGGTGGCATTCGTGGTTATTTACGCATTGATACCCTTATTGTAATACTCTAAACAATGGTTAACATTGTGCTAAGCTACAAATATATTCAACTTTATTTCTTCCTAAATTTCATTCAACTAAATCGTTCTCAGCCTTAACCTAAAAATCTAATACTTGGTAACAAATACAAAAACAAACTTAGTTCAACCATGGTTCAACAAATCATCTTAACAATGTTTCACAATCTTAGTCTTAACTAAAACTTTAAAATTAAAATCGAATACGAAAATGTACGATAAGACTGTATCTATACTACTGAACCGTAAAGTTTTGTGGGCGATTAATGATGTTGTGCTTTATTACATGTAAGTTTCTAAATGGAGGATATTGCGTGACGTAATAGGCCTACAGTACTGTATATGTAATGTTTTATCCAGAATGAATTAAACTTTGAATATGTCGATTAATTCATGGAGTCCTTGTAAGCCCAATAGGCCTAATAATAATAATAATAATGATAATTATGATAATAATAATGAAATTTGATGATAATTTGGTGAGGTAGCTCTGCTTGTGAGTCGTCTTAACCACAACATAGACCGCCACGGCAGCAAAGCCAAAAACAAGGCCTGGCTGAACCAGTACAATTTTGCGTATGCTCAGTGTTCTTATTTTTTGACTGATATCAGCCTCAAAATTTTCATATTTTGTTCTTATTTTACACACTTTTCAAACATAGAAAAGTATTGTTGTACAGCATTATACACATTATTTTGTTCTTAATTTTTAAGCAACTTCGGCCTCAGTGTTCTTATAAAATGTGTTCTTATAGAAAGTTAAAGTGTAATTGATTTTTTTTGGTGGAAATACACTAACTTCATTTCACTCCCTTGTTTTTGTAACATAACAATAACAGCAATTCTCGGTTGACACGTCATGTTTCCGACCATGAATAGGCATTGTTTTGAATTTTGTACTCAATAGCTTCCGGTTCCGCCTTCTATAGTATAAAAGTACTATGCTTGGGTATTTCAAGTTATTCATTAAGATAGTTGTATCAGATTAAAATCAGGCTACTGAACAAGTGTGGGTATTTCTAACGTTTAAATTTATTGTTTTTGAATTAGCAGCAACTTGATAATTACTTTCAAAATGACACCAATGAAGAAATGTTTGGTAGGTTTGCTTATTGTGGCAGCGATCAGCGAGTGCGTCCATGGAGCTAAAAGACCTACTACTACTACATCACAGATCTCGGACTTGTCACGAAAACTCGATCGTTTGGAACAAAAAGTATCTACATTACAGCGTGATGTAGCTCTCCTGAAGAAAACGAACGGTCAGCTGACTAGTCAAATACAAACTGCCAACAATGAGATTCAACGAGTAAGCTCAAGGAACGACGGCCTTCAAGAAATGTTAAGCCAATTTGAAAAATTCTTCGGCCATCTCTACACTGAATCAGGGGCATTTGACACTCCAATTGGAAGCAGTGTCGACAAGAGGATCAATAAGATTAATTCATTTGTGGGCGACTCAGAAGCTGCTCTTGTGGGGATGAATCCAGACATACTGTACACGAAGCTTGGAGTTCCACACGACACGGCACCGACCAACGTCTCCGAAGAAATGATGGCCAAAGCCGTCATGAAACTGGCAACGGAGAACAAGGAGATGTCAAACAAGGTTAACAGCCTGGAGGCTAAGGTAGTGGAATCGTCCAAATCAAGTAGTCGTGGTATCAGCACTGCTGAACTTGAATTGACCAAGGATCGGGTGGATAAACTGGAAGAAATGGTTACTATTCTCATCGTAGACAACGAGCGTACTGCCACTGCCGCACGTACCGCAGGCCAGCAAGCAGAATATGAAGAGATGGTAGAGGAAGCCCTCGTCAGCGCAAGATCAGCTTCGAGTGAGTATTTGCTACTTTTTCCCTCCTTTTTAACCATATTTATAGAGGGAGGGTGACCCTTCCATTCGGCTGATATTCAAGGGCCCTCTTAAATAAATTGTATTATGTGATGCTTTTATCAGATAAGTCTCTTCATGAGGCTTAAGGAGTAGAAGTTGTTTTTTAGTCGTGAGAAAAAGTCCTGGGGGGGGGGGCACAGGAATTGAACCCAAGACCATGGGATTAGAAGGCAAGCATCTTACCACTAATCTGTTCAACTCCACTTTTTGATCATTCCAGCATCAGTTTGTCTTAATGCTGTCTATTTACGATTTTTAAGATTTAGTGCCATTTAGGGTCTGTGATGTAACATATAGTATTGTTTTTCTTTTAGCTACACGCAAATCAGTGTTCTCTGCTGCACGAAATAATGATTTATTGGGAACATATTATCCACAAACCATCACCTTCGATCATACATTTGTCAATAAAGGGGGAGACTTCAATGCCGAAAACGGCACATTCAACTGTGAATGGACTGGATATTACTTTTTTACGTTTACGTAAGTATAGAGGTTCACTGTACACTTATTTTATTGTAGGACTATGCAATAAGCATATAGATAAAATGAAGGCGGATTTGAGAGGCGCCTCCCCATCCATTATAATCAGTTAATCCCCAAACCGTAAGTCTTACAAACGCACATGAAATAGTTGACCAGCTTCAAGAAGTAGATATAATAGGAGATTACATTGCATAACTACAGAGTAGTCTCAGTTGTAGTAAACGTCACATCTGCGACTTAGTTTTTTTCGGGCCTTCTGGCCAACCTTAAAACGCGGCTAGACGTTGTTAATGCCCTGTTTCAGACACGCGACAAAATAAAATAATCAATAATTGAATGGATGGATGAATATAATAATAAACAACAAAACACCTATAGTAGATGTAAATCGTGTACCTCTAATATTTTAGTTAATTGTTGCACTCTCCTTATTCTCTTATGTTCTCTGTGTTTACAATAGCCAGTACTGTGTTGTACTTAAATCGTTTTTTTACGTTTGTTTTTCATTTAAGGCTGCGTACGCTTGATCATCATTACATCGGAGTAACGTTGATGAAAACCTCGGCCGCGACGGGCAACACTGAGGTAGTGACGGGAATGTACATAGACCAGCACGAACGCAACACTATGGAATCGCAAAGCGTTTCGATACATCTACAAACCGGGGATACTGTTTGGTTACGCTTGGGACCATCTGACCAATACGCAGTCTCCAGTGACACATTCCTCTACACCACGTTTACAGGATTCTTGATATACAAAGGCAACTAAAATAAATCTAAAGGACTATAATGAGTGACAGAAAACTTGTGAACTGTAATGGTACCATACATTGTTGTGTATGAAAGATCACTGTACGAAATTCCATTCACACCAGCGTCCGTCCACATACAACAAACTTGTGCCTGTTTTGATGACACATCATCAATCCGCTTTCGACTTACAGAATAGCGTTTTTGCAAAATAGCATTCCAAGTAGATCGATTATTTGCCATATATGACACATAGACCTACAGTATTATGTGGTAAAAGTGGTTCTTCTGTTGTATTTGATAAGGACTTAGTGAGAGTCTGAATATTATGCGATGATAATGACTCATTTGCAAATAATGGACAAGAGCCATCCTAATTTTGTAAATAATCCGCGAAGTAGATACCTTTGTACTGTGCATTGCTAATTCGTTAATAAATAGGCCTACTTTATACAAATATTATTGCGTTTGTTTCGTGATTACAATGTATACTTTTAAAACACAAAGGTTATACACGAACTTGTTTGGGTTAAACGCAAATTATTTAATAACATCTTCACAGTATTTTTTCTGGCAAACTATTATTTTGCACAAATAAATAAGACAGTAATTTATTGAAGGCTAAAACATATTAGACAATATTATAATCAGTATAGACCAAAGAAGAGTAAGTTTACCCATTTGGAATTTAGTTAACTGAAGGACATAACGCTCTCTATTTGTATTTACTTACTTTGTCAATCGACACTAATTCTAAGCAGGATTAAGTATACAATAAATACCACTATTATGACTGAATACAACGACCGAAAAAGAGGAAACGTTATACTTGATTGGTGCGATTTAGATCTTAATATTAAGAATAATAATTATGCTGTCAATGTGTTGCGCAGATTTGTTACCTGAATCGAATAAATAATATCTTGATTGTACATTTTTTTCATTATGTTATTTAACTATATATTAAATATAAATCAAAAAGGTATAGGTTGTCTATTAATGTCTATTATCGGTACTTAAATATATCTGTAAAAGTTGAATGGTCCAAGGTTCACGGCAGGAGGTAATCTAGCCTATCTTGGTGTCACTCTCTTCAAACTTGAAAAGCAAAGGCCATGTTGATGAACGTATTAGAAAATGTCAACGTGAATTTTTCTCAGGACAGGGTGTCGGCTTTGTAAATGCGGGGTCCATAATGATGTAAAGGTTTATGGAATTTCATTTTAGCTCCTATTTTAACGTACGGTCATCAGTGTGTTGATTTAAGCGACTGCTATATCAGTAAACTTGACAAGCACAGAATAAGTTACTGAAAGCTGCAACCGGTATACTGTACCTAAGTTTTGCCAAAGCACCCTATTATTCACGCAATTGACGTGCCAAAAGACGGTAGTTAAATGCTTTCAGTTAGACCTCATGGCCAAGATTTTTAATAACAGTTCTGCATCTTGTTCTTTTTATTCACACTTATTAAGTTCCTATTTTAACAATGATATGTCCTACATTAAATTTAAAGGCATCTTAGTCTCTCGCGTAATACATTTTGCTTGTAGTGACAACTTTTCGTTTACTAAATCCGTTTTTGATGTAAAACATCGTATGCATTTTAAGTCATATTTTTAAAATAATTTTTGAATTGATCATGGAATATGTGATAGTATTAAGTCCTTATTATTTATTAACGATTTAGACGGTATTTATAGATTATTATGGCCTTTTTAAACATTTTACCTTTACATTGTTTTTATTCAAATTGTACAAACTTGCTTCTTGCTTCTCCTTCGGGAGGTTTATGTGTTTAAATAATACCAGTCTTTGTAGTCTCAAAATTCACTTGCCACCAATTTGAAGGATAGAAAAAAATCGTTAATAAAAATAAATTTTCCGATCGATTAAAGTTGGATAACGTAGCATACGATGTTTTTTACATAAAAAATGAGCAATTTAAAGTTTAATTTCAATTTTTGTAGTTGAAAGTAGCCTATATCTTTAAAATAATTCGACTTGGGCGCGTACACTCGTCATTGTAAAATCCGCTATGCTTATTGAATACTGTCTTTTATACCAGTTATTTATTTTCAGCTAGGCCTGCTTCAACCAAATTTATTGAAATCTCACATCACCCAGCGTGAACAAGAAAATAGTTGTTCAACAAACTTTAATATTAAAAAAAGTCGTGCCTTCCGACATTTCAATTGCTTTATAAAATGTCTTCAAATGGTATTTTTGTGCTGCATCTACGTGTCATTGGTACCCGGTACGAAGCATGGGAAAATATCTGAAATGAATCTTGAATGAATTCAATCCACTCCCTGTACCTACGTCACTGCACAGTCAGGGGCGCATCCGTAGAAAAATCTGGGTAGGGACAATCATAGATAATATAGTTTACACACTCCAAGTATCGAAATGCACGCCATCATGTCGGGATTCAATATTTATTATCAATATTAATTATTTCATCATCATTTCCTGTATGTATTATCTTATCTGAGATTAATCAGTGGACCGTCATAGAGGTATATTACTATACTGTAATAGAATACCTCCATGGGACAATGCGACGTGCGAAGCACCGCGCCCAGTGGGAGTGGGAGTAGTTGATGAAATGAAAACAATACGAGTACACAAATGACAACTTATACGGGTGTGTCACAACAGAGCGCTTTCTTTCTTTCTTTCTGTTTTCTTTTCTCTTTCCTCCTGGATCCGCCCCTGCTGTATATCCTGTACACAATCATGCAGAATGTAGAAAGCAACTCTAGCACTCATTTAGTTTGAGTGTCTTTCAATCTTTTAGTTCTCACAATTCCGTATCGTATCTAGGGGAGGGGTGCGTTAGGCGGGGATGGATAAACAAACAATCGGGTTATCCTCAGGAAAGCAAAACACAATTATTACACTAATAGCAGTAGGGCCTACAGTTAAAATCGCCACCTCATTCCATAACCTAAAAACCACTTTGCACATACGCCAGAACAAATAATACAGTATGTATCCACAAAGGCATAATGTATTGCAATTTAATCAAAATGAAAATCCACCAGAAATGCTGTTTTAGTAGGCATGGTACATGATGTGAAGAGGACATTGTGTTTGGTTCAAGTGTTCATAAAATATGCAGTGTCAAAATAGAATTCATTGTCAAAAATAATAAAATATTTAATTGCTAAAGCTTTAATTTTCTTAAAATATAAGAATGGTCACTCAGTTTAAGATATTCTTCATATACATACACATGATACAGGTTTACAATTATTCCAGTTCCACAAAATAGAAATGGAGGATCTGATTAGTGAGTATGTATGCATGTATAATATATAAAAAAAGTCTAAAACTTCATAAATATCAATATAACATAAAATATAATTAAATTTAAATATATAAAAATTAAAACTAATTAAATGTTTACAGGAAATTTTCAATGAAATTTTAAGATATTTCTTTTGCATACAGTAATTATTTCAGTATTCTTTACTTCTAGTTGGTGCCTTTAGGGATATATTGGTTAAATTTCTTCCAAATTGGATGCATAGGTCAGCCATACGTCCACACTATACGACTTCTGCCAGTCACCGAAACCTAATCTGTATAATTTAAATTGGTGATTCTTTTGGAATTACACTTGAGATTAAGCCTACTGATAGAGTAATACAGAGATGCTTCGGGTGTCGAATTGTTCAGAATAAATATTTTTATCTAGTCTAATGTACAGTTGAAAATGTAGATGTTTAGCCTAAAGTATATTCAGAAAACGATTGGAAATGGTGTTATTGACCTTTAACCCATATTGGCAGGTACTTTATCTTCCTCTAACAGAGAGTTTCTTTGGTGTTTAAAATAGAAGTCAAAAGTCAATAACATATATAAACATTCAATAATTACCAAGATATGAAAGTTCTTTAAAATATAGGTCAGAAAGTCAAAATGGACATTTCTACAGCGGTGGTTCCAGAAATTTGCAGTCAAGGGGTCTAACATGTCGACGGAGGGGTCCGAACCAAGGGGTCGACTAAAGCCTCGGTCGGGGTCTTCAAATGAAAAATTCCTGGTAGGGTTCACTGTGAGAGTTTATGGCTTATAGTGGCAAATCACATCCCCCATGAATCTAAGCAATTTGACAACAAAATAAACTCTCTATGACTAGTAGATATAAAGATTTATGCAAATCAGGTGACCTTATGGAAATCAATAAGTATGGTATGAGCAACCTTGTAGCAAAATCTGAACCTAGTGGCGTAACAATGACTCATGAGTCACAGGGGCCGAAAGTGTCACAAACATGGCAAAGGGAATAGTATTGAGTGAATCTTCCTCCCACCTCGGCAATGACAATACAGTTCAAAATTTGTTAGTTAAGAGCCATATTGTTTTATTGCTTGCTACTTTTGGGTGTCCATCTACTGGTCTGAATGTGAAGGCTCTGTAGTAATATGTGGATGTTAGTAAGTACAGTATGACTCAGGTCCGCTACCATCCTCAAGAGCCCATAGGTGTGTGCCACTGCTTGAACCAACCATCCCTATTTTGATCCACTATTTTACTGTTCACATGTTTTCAACCCCTGAAAGTTAAACATTAATATCACACTATACAACAGGAAAGGAAGATGCAAATTTCATAAAAATATAACAGTCCATTTAAAAATAAGGGATTCTCCTACACCAAACTGCTGGTACTACTTGTTACTAAATTTATACTATTTCATTTAACTGAAATACAGTATATTGTTTTGTTACATAATTACTATGGTATGCCTACAGTTAAAATATGTTTTTATGAATTAAGGAATTTCTGTGAGTAGATTAATTATTATTGTTATTATTATCTTTTTGCATGGAAATTCACTAAAACTTCTAAGGAACACATTCCGTGGCCATAAGGTACAATTGGTGGTTTTGAAGCATAATCACTTCTTAATTTTATACATTTGGCAACAATTGACTAAACCACAATTTGGCGGAATAAAAAGCTCACAGATCAAAGTTAAAATCTTTTAAAACTGAGCATCAGTTAATTACAGTATGTAGCCAGGCTTTAAGTTGTACTGTATGCCTAATAGTACATCTATACAAGAAATAATAGTCTGAGACTCAGGTTTAGTCAATGATTTGACTTGAAATAAACCAAACTGTAACTTGAATTCTCACCTTGTCTGACTTGACTACTCGTCCGAAATAATTAACCCGATTATCTTATTGGGGAAACACTGCAAGTGATGGCAATTTACTTATGACATTACCATAAAGTTACTGATATTACTAATGAATACAATCATTTTCCATGATTTTTTATACTTAATTGGTAGTTGCTACAGATTTTACTAATGTATAACAGTCACAAGAACAACATTAAATTTATCAGCAAGACTATACTATATACGCCTCAAATAGGATATTATTGATTGGTGGAAATCTATTAGTTTTGGAACTCTATTTCTACAGAAATCGATGGGAACACCATAGTACCTTGTTGGGATAATAATAATATACTCTGCTAGTGCTAAACTCATTTTGTCATTCTACAAACAAGGAGAGAGCAGGAGCTGAACTTGTTGACACATGGTTCACGACTTCTCTGCTTCCTTATGTGGTGACACATGATTCATGACTTCTCTCCTTCCTTTAGTGTGCTCTCTATGTGCTCCAGGATGTTTGAGAAACGGTCTTCTCCCATATAATCAATTTCTCCTTTCTCCCAGGCCTCTTGACGTGTCAAATTGCTCTGCGTACGTGTTGGTGTCTGACCTTTGTCTTCTAAGCTAATCTGACCCACTTCCGAGGCAAGCTCACAACCCTAAAGAAAACACATAAAAAGCTCGTGTCAAATTTGAGTTTTCATATTTAAATAAAATCACCTAAATTCAAAACAATGAATTTTCAGATTAGTCTACTGTGAAATAATTTATGCTCAATATCAGAAATAAAATTCTTGCCAACAAACAATCTTTACTACATGTCTCCCTTTTATTAAAGCCAGTGGTTTCGAGGGGGGCTGGGACTCTGACCGAGGACTAGTCGGTCCCCTTGGACTCCCCCGGGAAATTTTTGGAACCACTGCTTCCCAGGATGAACAAAACTTTTTAAATTGATGATAATTATATTTTCTAATTTGACACTAAAAAAAGACCATGGAAATCCTAATCTATAAATAAGTGTAAATTTATATATTTTCTTCTTTTAATTTAATTCTAGTCGAGAGTTGATGACCTACTGTATTTGTTCCTTTTAAATAAGCTCTTCAAACTTTTAATTTGAATTTTCGAGGCTTTTACCAATTCCTCTACAACAAACCAAAATACCTGGCCTTTTGAATTTGTCCATTGTGTTTAAGCCATTATGTGCTTGTTAAATAGAAGTGAATTTTGTCAATGATAATGAAATAAAAAAAAAAAAATGAAAATTCCGATCCCAAAAATGGTCTTTAATTGCAGCAAGGAGCTATACCTCCACGATTGGAGGGAGAAAAGTGTGTCTGAGAAAATCCAAAACTTATTAAGTTTTGTCCAAGCTATTCTATGCCCATATATAGTGCAAATTGAGATAAATTAATGTGAACAACACAGACAAAATGTAGAAACAAGACACCAAGCAGATTGGAATGATGACACAAAAATGATGTAGTCAAGGTCATGTGCAGTAGCAGCCTCAAAAGCAATCAGATGTCTGAAGCAACTGCATCTGCCATACATAAGCAAATATTGAACATATTGAACAACAATAGATCAATATCAATCAAATATCAATCAGATGTCTGATGCAACAGCATCTGCCTTACATAAGCAAATATTGAACATATTGAACAACAAGAGATACAGAATAAAGGAGAAAATATTTAGCTTTTTCCCATGTGTAAATTCATATTTATTTTATTATTTTCAACATTCATAATAGGTAGTATTTGCAGCTATCTGGAGGTAAAACAATACGATTTCTAAGTACTGTACAAGACAAAAGTACAAACACACAAAATGAAATAAATTAGCCTGTAAATATTTCAAGTTTAAAATAAATAGTTGCTAATTACTAACCAGTATGTGAGAAAACATGAATATTAAATCAACAAAACAGCAATATAATTAAAACTTTATAAATTGTTGAGTATACTCACATCTCTCAAAAAGCAAAAAATACCTGAGGTTTAGGTGGGCTTATACCAGAGAACCAGAAAAAAAAATTTGTAAATTTAATTTTTTCCAGTTCTATTTTAAAGTAAATTTGACAATTTGAATCTGTATTTAAGTTAGGAACTTTCTAAAGCAATTTTTAGTGTTATACAGTATATGTATTTTTTTTAAATTCCTGTTGGGAACTGATGCTATCTGGTGCAACAAGTCTCATTTCATTGTTAAAGGTCAAAACTAAGAGAATTCCTCCCATTACTAACCATAACAACTAATTAAATTTAGCATAATGTTCTCAAACACAGGCTTCCAAGCGTTACGAAAACATTTCCAAAGTAGTAGTAGTAGGGCGGCTAAGGAGAAAATCATGCACTTTTGGAAGAAAGCATGAAACGTCCCACAGTGATAATATGACACCCAAGAATCATTAAAAAAAATAGACCCCAAAAAATAAGCCGCTTAGTGGCCACCATCTTGAAATTCAAAATTGTCGCCAAAATATTGAATTTTTATCAATAATCTTCATATCTACAGCACCTAGCACTGTTTTCAATATCAGGGAGTATTATGCAATCATCAAAAATTATGACAGATGGCCGCCATATTTGATTTCAAGATAGCTGCCAAAATATTGTTATTTTTGTCATTATCTTCATATCTACAGTAACGTAACACAGTCAATCACACCTTTAACCATGTTTTTAATATCAGAGAGTATCATGCAATCATCAGGAAATTATGTTGGAAGGCCACCATATTGGATTTCAAGATGGCTACCAATGAAAGTTCCTTTTTTAGTTGTGTGAAAAAGTTTCTCAAACGTTTAGCCACTTACTATCTCGATGTCGTATCAGTAGGTCATATCAGTACACCACAAAGTCCTATACGATAAAGGGGCATATCTCACTCCCAGATACTTCTCTCATACGACTGACTTATATTAAGAA